GGTTACATCATTCCCATTCATCGGAAAATGATAGTCATTGTGAGTGTCTGGGTCTTGCAGCCTTGTGTTCTGCAGCGTGATCCTTTTTTAGAAGTTCCTCAGTAAATTGGGCACCCACTTCTTCCTTTGAGCTCACTGCTCAAAATGTGTGCATGTGAATGTAGCCTTTCTTGTTAAAAAGGAAGATGCTTAACCTGAAACTCAAAATTCTTCAGGGTAGTGTTTCAATATACAGCAAAACATAAATATTTTTTCAAATAAGTATCGAAGCTAAGTGTCTGCTTAAATTTTGGTTTGTGCAAACAAAATTTTGGTTTGTGCAAACAAAACCACCAGTGTTAAAATTTTCTCTCTGGACTGTTGAAGATTGAATCTTTGGTTTTATATTGCCAACTGAAGTGAAATACATGAGACTGTAAGACAGAAGGCTGTAACTCCTTCACCATGAAGTACATAGGTATCTCTACCTCTTGTTCTTAGACTTGAATACTTTAAGGTTACCATCCTTTGCTCCCAGGATTTTATGCCTGGATGAGTAATCTATTTTTTTTAATTGACCCAAGTTAAGTATTGTCTATTTGCCATACTTTTTGGTATACTGCAGTTGACCCTTTGAAAGGGAGCCAAGTCAAGCTGCAAACGAAAGTGGCAGTCCTCCCGGATGCTAGTTTTGGAGTGCAATAGAGTGACCGACTCGAGCCTCATCCTGTGTGGCTCAGCGGCTTTTATCATCACACATCTTCTTCCCTGGTCAGGATACCTGTACTGACAATAAATTGAAGATGGAGCAGCTGCTCCCCAAGAGGGAGCCATCAGCCTTTTCATTTGCCCTTGAAAAACTTTAGGGACCCACCTGATGCAGTGCTGTGAGCGTATCTTTCTTTTGATGAAAAATACTGCGTTTTGTTCCATTGGGCTGGACCTGTAACACTTAGTAAAGATGGGAGCTGCAAAAGTGTAAGGGCTGCACGCATCCATTTCCTCCCTGAGGTCAGAATCTTGCTCAGGATAAAACCCTTATGCTTGAGCAAAGCTGGAGAGTTTCGAGTGTACTGGAGATGCCAGAGTGGCTTCAGTGCTCGGTCGTATTCATGAATGCATTTAGGTGGTGTCCCTTTTTCATGCAGCACATCTGTGTCCCTTGCTTTCATCCCCCAAAGAAAACCACAACACGATTACTGTCGTTGCAAATCCCGAATAGATGCTATGCTGTAGCAACTGTTGCTACAAGATTCTTCCAGTTTGAGGGCTGCTTTTGGGGTGTGACCTCTTGCACTATCTGCACAGACACATACTTCAAGAGAGCGGGGGGATGTGTGAGGCGATAGGTAACAGGGACATGAACGTACTAGTCCTGCTAACAGCTTGCCTTAAATCACTGAAATTACAGCGGTTCCTCGCTACTATTGCAATCCTCATTCTTTCTGTAGTTAGGTTTTAAAATCCTGGAGGTCCTGGAGGTTGTACAACTTTATTTTGTTTTTAAAAAGCTTCTATCTTTGCATAATTGCACTCTTCAGATAAGCCCTTTCTGGATAACATGTCATTTCACACACAGAAAAAACCATCCGTCTCCAATGTTCTTGCTGTAAAGTTTCGGGGTTTTTTTCTGTGTAAATTATATTTGGGCTAAAGGTTGCCTACTGTTGAATCAGTGTGTTTACTTGAATGTTGCCATTTTATGCAGTTATAACTGCTGACTCTTGCTCTTCTCTGGGCCCATGAGAGGGGAGATCGTGTGACCAGAGGTGGCAAACCCGCACAGAGGATCAGTGGAGCTGAAGGCTGGCTGCTGTTTTTATACTCCCATATGTATTAAATGTTAGAGGACTTCACAAAATAGTGCTTAATATTTTGAAGTTGTGACTTTTTAAGTCACGTTAAACATAGTTATCTTAAAAATATGCTTGCTTTCTTAAGTTTAAAACAGTCTTTTAAGAAAGGAGATGGGCTGGCAGGAGCAGTTGGAGGGCCTCGTGCTGTTAGTTGTTGAGTAACTCGAGTTCCAAGAGACATGGATGCAACTGGCAGGACTAGGTCCTGACCCAACGCGACTGGCATTTGTACTGGCTGGTCTTGAGGGCATGAAGCAACCGCAAGTCCTCGACAGGCTGCATGGAGGAGAAGGGTCAGCCTGGGAGAGCTAGTTGATGCAGCTGGATTTCTTGGAGCACTTGCTTGTGGCTCTCGGCCCCAATTTAGCCTCAAGTCACTCTTTAGGGAAGCAATGCATTCTGATGGTGTGTTTGCTCCCGGAGAAGTAACTAATTCTAAGTAAGGAAGTAAGGAGAGCACACCTTCTTGCAGCTTTCGTTGAATCGCATGTGAATACAACTAGCTGATCGATCTCTCAATTCCTCAGTAAACCAGCAAGGGTGGATAGGATCAAATCTGCCGTTCTTCGCGTCGGGAGTGGTTTTTGCCTTTTTGGACTTCCCCAAGAGATAACCACATATGATCTGATTTTCTCACTCTGGGAAACGATGAATGTATTGTGTGTCGTGGGGCAGACCCGTGCTTCCTCTTTCAGACAACAGTATCAGAAGTGCTGTGTAAATGTAATGCTTGAAAACGGCTGGAGTAAATTCTGTTTCATGTAGGATCTTTTTTTTTTTCAAAGGGATGTGGCCAAATTTGAAACCATGATCTGGAGGAAAAGTGGGAGAAGTTCAAGATGATGCATCTGCTGAGTCCTATTTGATTTGTAGTTTTACAATTACTTTTCTTGTATCAAATTTTGCTCACCATTGTTGTCTGGAACAGAATGGAAACAGCATCTTAGATAATGTGCAATCTAAGGCACAATGCAAATAGGTTGTAGTAAGAAGGTTGTCCTGTACTTGATAGCAATCCTGAGTGCAATGTTTTTGTCGTGTCCCTTTTGGAAGAAGAGCATTAAGTGGAGTCTGAGGTTTTTCTTTCCTTATAAGCAAAGCATTGGTTTGTCCATTACTGACTTCTTGTGGAATTTGTGCCAGATGTAATTAAATATTTTGGTGCTTTTTCTAATCCAAGCTGCCATTCATTTACCTGTGAGATTATTGTACTTCTGTATATTTAAATGACCAATCCCTTAAAGAAAAAAAAAATCCTTTAGTCACAATGTATCCTGACTACTGTAGCTTTGTAAATGTTCCAAAGCTTCTGGGTTTCCTGTGTTCCAGTAAGGTCTGAGGGGAGGGAGGCGAACAGCTACAGAAATCTAATCCACTGGAAAGGGAACTTGCACGCTGTTCTGTGCATTACTGAACAAATGAGTAACATTTGTGGTGTTTACATAATGGCACGTTGGTGCTCAAGCTTTGTACACAATGTCTATTTAAAGCCGAAGTCCTTTTTACATTTTCAATTAAAAGGGGACAAATTAATTATTTTTTCATGCCTATAAATAGGACTCTTGCTAGCTTTATTTGTCATCTCCGGAGTTTCTCAAGCAGGAATCCTGGATGCTTACTAAATCCTGCCTAGTCCTTGCAGGGAGGTGACCACATCATTTTTAAGTGCATGGAATGAAAACTAGCTGGTTTTTTCCAACTTTGCAGTGCAGGCATCTACAACAAGGAGATGCTGGATGGGAACAGTCTTAACAGGAGCATATTCTTAGCAAGGGACGATTGCTGAGGTCAGTCTGCCATTCTCCCCCTTCCCCTGAGCTGCCTGGCCCTGTGGTCTCTGCTGGGCTGGGGTCAGCAGCAGGGACTGGCGAAGGGACCCGCTCCCTGTCACGTTTTGTACTAGCACTGATGCTGATGCTTATCCCAGTTTGCAATAGCTACAGCCAAATGATGCCAGGTTCACTTGGAGTGGATGAAGTACCTTTTTAAAAGAAAAAAATTGGCTGCATTCATATTGCTTAATAATAGATTTCATTTCAGGACTTTTGGAGGCTTTAAATTTAGGTATGAATGACAGATGTGAGCACCTACTACCCACTCACTAGTGCTGCCTCTGGGCTAGTGCTGCATTTGCCTTTCTCTCCCTCGCCTTTTTTTTTTTTTGCCTGCTCCTCCACGCAGCAACTCCCAACTTCTACTCCATAAGCTGCTCTTTGCTCACGAGCCCAGCAAAATGAATTTGGGGTTGGAAAGTAGGAGGGTGTAAATATTCCATCAGCTGTATTTAATAATTTCTGGAATAACAACTATTTCAACTTTATCTCAGCCTATTCTAATTCATATCAAGAAATCCTTCAGCTCACGTTCAAACCTTGTAACAAACATTTCATTTTTTCCATTTTTCTTTTTTGAGTGCCACAAGCTCTCCTAGGCATCCTCGTGCTTGGAAATTCAGTGTGTTAACAGGAGATGCTCAAGCAGCCTTTATTTGAGGTGGCAACAGCTGCAAAGTGCAGGACTGAAGCTGTCAGGTTGCAAATCACCTCATCCTGCTGCTGGTAATGCACGGAGTCTTACTGCAACTCTGCGCTTCCAGGTCCCAGCTGAAAGCCCTGATGTGTGAAGTTCGCACAGACGTGCGCTTTCCTTAAAATGGCCCTTGCCCCTCCCACAGCCACACTGTAACTTCTCTTTTTCCTTCTTTTTTGTGTGTGAGAGGTGTGGGGAGTGATCAGGGAGGGAGGAGAAAGTGGAGATTGTCCAAGAAGTATGAATCACCAATTCCTCCTTTCCATGGACTAAGTACAGTACTTTCCCGGAAAGGAGGCAGCAACTCTGCTTCAGATCTGGTATGGCACATTTCCAGAAATCCACACAATTCCCGAGAATAGCTTTTAACCGCTGAGCAGCTGCTGCAGGTACTACATTGACTTGGCTCGCTGGTTTACAGCCTGCAATGTTTCAGTGAAGACAGCTCAGCTAGTACGTTGGTCTCCGGCAATGAACAACTTGCTGAGTTACACCTTCCAGGTCAACACTGATTGGCTTCTATGCAACACTCCCCTGGTTTGCCCCCAGCTCTTCCTAAGCACTTGCCTAGCTCACCCACCGCCAAGGAAAACTGCCACAGCAAGAGGGGTTAATGGAAAAGGTATTGTGCTTTAAGATGTTTTGAACAGCTTTTATTTTTAGACTTTCTAAAAGATACAGAGTGAAAGCCTATTGTTCTTATGGTAAGAGATCTTCACAAAGACATCAATATTTAAGTAATTAAAAATATCTTAACAAAAGACTTTGCTTAAAAACTTGGCACTTTAACAAGCACTCCTCCCTCCATCATCTTTTATTCCCATCAGACCAAGGCCAGATTGTGATCCATGCGTGCTGCAACATAAACAAGAGGTGTGTTAGTTCTGCTAAGGGTAGCCTTGATGCACATAACCTTGCTGATCTAGTAAGGAGAAACCTGCAACCCTCAGGTCAGCAGATTGAAAAACTGTAATTTCCCCCCCCGCCCCAAAATTATTTGGCATTCTTTTTAATCAAGAAGCCTCCTCTGGACTGTTAGTCCTCTGGGAAACAGTAATACAGGACCCTCACTTGGCAAGAAACCTTTTCCAAGCCTGGGACAGCGTGCCGTTCCAACCCACTCAACAGCCTGAGAGAGATGTGAGCCCAGGTTTTCTGGGCTTCCGGAGGCTCCTTGTGGATGCAAACTCCTGAATCCACCTGTTCTGCTAGTGGCATTCATACCCCTTGGTGATGTGAGACAACAGGCAAGCTTGTGCTAAGTGAGGCTACTTTGAGATGACCCTTGAAAAGTAAATTTGGACCTGCTGAGACTAGTGAATCTGCTGCAGCAGACGCATGGTGTGGCCAGTAACTCCACAGCCATCCTCTCCACAAACCCTTCCAGTGGGGCTAACAGGCTAGTATATACAAAGTACCTGAGGTGACACAGTGGTGTAGAGAAGAGGCACATGATTGCTCAGAAATGTAGAAACTGACTCAGAGCCCAGAAGAAGGCAGCAGCTGATCAAAGGACCGCATGTGCTATTAAACTGCCTGCAGAGGTTAGCCCTCAGTTCAGGCCTCCCCAACAGCTGATTTAAACCAAGGCAGTGGTTGATACAGAACTTGTGTGAGAAACCATTTACACACAGATACAGGCAATCAGCACGTTGCTAATAAAGTAGGAATTGCTGCTGTCTCATTTTGTTTAAAAAAATTATTTAAAGAATACATGCTATTCTTTGGGGTGGGGAAACAGCTTTACTTAAGATGATGAATTATTTTAAAAAAAAAAATTGTTCTTTTTAAAAACAGTCATTAGAAAATGAACAATTAGAGCAGTTCATGCCAAGAGCAGCCCTTGGCATGCAACCTTGCTGAAACAGTTTGTCACTGGCATGAAGCCTAAATACACTCTTGGCTTGGGCTGCATCTCCCTTCTAGGGACGCTGTTTGGTGCCGAGGATAATACAGCAATCATGATACTTCTCAGGAAGCTTTGCAAGTAAGCGAGGGGAACCTGGCCTGGCTGCCTAGCCAGGCAGAAGAGATGCTGCTGAGCAGCTCTGTCTCCCTGCTTCTATTTTGGGGCATGTCTTCTGTCTCCACAAGAAACGGTAGGTACCCTTTCTGTTGAAAGGAAAGTGAAGTAAAGCATGGGTAGCTGTGACCTTTCTTTGACTGTCTGAACAGTGACACAGTGAGAGAACAGAAAGAAGACTGCTGAAATAAGTATGTACTCTGTAACTAGGGCTTTGCCTGGGAAAGATTTAACCTTTCCAGTTAATAATTAAGCAGCGAATGACAGGGGCAGTTCAGACCCCAGGGCCTGAAATGCAGGAAGCCCACTCCATCTGGAAGCGTCCGTGATATTAGCACTGAAGCCCAACTCAACTCCAGAACTTGCCCTTTCCTATGAAAGCTTAAGCACTCAGTGAAAGTTTCTTTTTTTTTTTTCCAGTCATGTCCCTCACGTAAGAATGAGGGCATGAACCACCTCCTTGATTAACCATGGCTGAAGCATGGTTTTAAAAACACGAACAAACAAAAAAAACCACCCAAAAACTGGCTGCTGCGGAAACTCTGCTCACTTCTCTCATGGGCAGATAAAGCGTACCTTGCTGCCCATAGAGACGAAACGTCCAACAGGGGAAGGCAGGTGAACTGAGCATACCTGTTTAATCAATCAACACTCTATTTCAGCCTTGCTAATCTGGACCATCAGCTACGTAAGTGGTTTCAGCACTTGTGCCTGTTCTGAATCAGGCATGGATTATGGGCAGAACTGACTGTGCAGGTTTTATTGGCCTAACACGAAAGTCAGACTGAGTAAGTACAACAGCTTCTTCAGGCCTTCTCTCAGGCTTTCACTTCCTTGTGCAGGGTTTTAATTTTTAATAGATTAAGATAAAAATATTTGGCTATGTATTTTCCTTGGCTCTTTGCAAAATAGGTGGCAAGTTACCTGTTCACGCCAGGAAAGAGAACAACGCACAGGGTGTTACTCTGCAGACTTCTATAAAGCTTTTTGATATGCTGGTCTAACTTCTTCACCTTTTTCCTTAGATCCTGCTCCTGCATAACAGAATGTAAGTATTAAAATCCCCAATTCATGTGCAGATCTGTAGCCATCACACTTAAAAGTATGTGTAGCAAGAGTGGCCCTCAGGCAGTGTCAGGGTGAGGACAGCAGTGATTCTATTACTGGCTGGCATTTGGCAGTGCAATGCCTCAACAGCAGGGAGAACCGCATGCCCTACTCAAATGGCACTACAGCTTCCTCCAGTAAAAATGAGAGCTGCAACTAGAGCTGTTCTTTCCTGTAGGGCTACACAACTTCTCCCTCTGACTCCCATACCTTGCTACACCTGTACATTGCTCTGTCTGCTCTCAAGTGGTAGGCTTCAGTTCCTGTGTAGCATCACTCACTGCCCCGAGCAGCTGTGCTGGTTTGTCTGGGGTTTTTTTTAAGGTTATTCAGTATCCTGCAAACATCACATGATCTCACGTGCTATTCCCTCTCCAAACTGCCTTGTGGGAACTGATCCTTGGCAGCCTCTCTGCTCCAGCACAGGGAGACCCTTCTGTTACATGCAGCTCTGCACCTAAGTCTCCTCAGTTATCACTTCTGGTTCCCAGGGCAGTACCTCCTGAACTAACTGCAACAAACATCAGCATAGCCTTAAACTCACAGAGTCAGACAGTTGCTCCATTTTCTCATGTAAGATGTTTCCTCCTTGCTTCCCATTGCTGCAATTCATTTGCCAAATCCATCTCCAGAGGTGACCTGAAGCAAGAGCGTTCCTACTTCTTAGTCTGCTACCCTTCACAGTCCATCCATTTATAACTTCAAGGGCATTCACAGCACTCTCTGATTTCTGGAATTCTGGAACACAAAGAGAAGGGGAACATGCTTTGGCAGTGATGCTGCTGCCCTGTTCCTTCGCACCTGTAGGGCAGCGATAAAGGTGTGGAGCAGGAGAGAGACAAGAAACTGAAATCACCGCAGCAAGCAGATCCTCATCTTGCTACCGGTAAACATCAGACTATAGAAATGCCAGTTAACTGCAACAGCACTCATCCAGCTGTCCTCCTCACCTTTTTAGAGGTGATTACTTGTCTGTGTGAAGCTGCATAGTAGCCAGCCCTCACATTGAGGTACTGGAGCCAACGAACTATCCTGGAACTTTTCTAAGTAAAGATCATCTTTTTTTAAGCAGGTTTGTGGGTTTTTTTTCCTTTTAAATATTTAGCTGTAAACTGCTCCTCCAAACAATATGTGCTTTCAGTGGAGTATTTTAAATCCCATCACTCTGCACATACATGAGTTTCAGTAGCTCTTGCTGTGTCTGTGCAAAGTCCCAAGGGCTGCTGAATGAGCTTACCTGAAGGAAGTACGCAGGCCATATGTGAAGCTACTTACTGAGGAAACAGCAGTTCCTGTGCTTTCCACTCTGAAGATCCTTTGGCAGGAACAGTGTTTCCAGGTCTTTCAACTGGCTGAATTCTTCTTGCAAGTCCGTCTCTGTTAATGACTTCTTTAGACCCGCCACATAAATCACACCTTCATTTTCTACATCCAGTTCTAGTTCCTTTATCAAAACATCACAGTCCAGCATTGCTGCAGTGACAGGTCTCTGAACCTGGGGTGGATTCAGCAGGAACAAACACAGCACGTCAGCCCAAGCAACTTTGTGTTCTGAGCTTCTATTTTAAATTATCTTCTCCCATTACCAAAAGTTGACAAGCTATTTTCCCTCCCTTGTAAAAAATATGACTAATGAAGGCTAACAATTAGTCACGAAAAAGGAAGAGAGATCATGTCTGTAATGCAGAAACACTAAAATTAAGAACCCCATACTTTGTATATGGCATTTTAACACCGTTACTTGGCTCTTCCTTTTAAAGCTGCAGTTGGAGGTCAGAATGCTTTCTAACCCCCTTCTGCTGACAGGCAGAAAGGAAAAAAAGAGGGCTATAACCACTTCCTTTCTGCCAGTGGCCCTAAATCATCCAGGGACAGGGAGATGGCAACAGCACAATAAGCCAGCATTTGCCCAGACGCTGTGCTGTGACTAGATGTTAAAAGAGACACATTGGATGCTGTTCCTGTGCTCAACACAGCTTAGGCTTTTGCTATTTGCATGTTTTACCTTAATGCAGGATCCTGCTACCTCAGCTCCATTTAGGCTTTCCACAGCAAGCTGGGCAGCTTCCAGCACTTCGTATTGGATACAGACATAGGGCTTGAAACAGAACGATAAGATACTTCAGGCTTATCAATAAGACACATTAGATTTCCCCCCGCCCTTTTAAGTCACATCTCACTAAAGTTGTGTTTTCTTTTAAAAATAGAATATAAAAAGGTTTGGGGGTAATATATGTAACACTCCATATACTGTAGCTGTTAAAAACAACCTTCAATTAGCTTGTCAATTAATAACAACTTTTTTTTTTTTTTTTTTGCCAATAAAGGTCTTAGTATATCAGTTTTCTTGACAGGGACAAAAATCATCTCGGCTTCTCTAATGCTTGAAGTCCTCTAGCTTGAACAGCACGGTTAAGCCACATGAGCTGTGTTTATTCTTGTCACTGTGTGGAGCAGCTTTTAGATACCCTGAATTGTTGTAGCTGATGACTAAACCACCAGGAAAAAACCCAAGCAAAATAACTGGAATTTCAGTGGTTCTAATCCTATCTTTCCAAGGGATTACTCAGGCCTTCCATGCCTGTCAGCAAGCTTAATGCTTTTGAGTGCTCCTCACCTGGCATGTTTCAGTTACCACTGTAAGAGACTGGATTGGTCCACACCTCCCAAATTCTTTTTTCACAGACTTCAGGCAAAAGCTTTCTTCAAAAGGACCTGCATAAATTGTCAGCATGTCAGTCAGCTTGCTTCTCACCTGTAGGAACACAGATTAGAGAAGGAACTTCACAAAGCAAAGGAACTAACTACTCAGTGCCTCCAGATAAATAATGTCTCTTTCCAAGCTCAGCAATGGAGACTATTCTCAAAAAAATAGTACCTTTTCACAAAGTCCAGCAAGAAGGTGAGATGCAATATACTCTGGATCCAAACTGAACTGAATGATACTGAATGTGGACAGGGGAACATCTTCTAAGGCTCTCTGAAGAATCTGGAGGGAAAACAGCATACAAGGCTCAAAGAGGTACAAGACAATTGTACTGCAAAGGATCAGAAACAAAGCTATTGAACTTAATTCCCAAGTTTAATTTTCATTATTGTCCAAGGAAGCCCTCAGGCAGAAATTCTTCTTTACTGAGTCATAAGAGGATGTAAAGGATCAAAGCTTATTTCCGAAATGTTAAAATGGATTTAGCTAACCTGGTATTAACACTATTGCTAACAATACTGTCAGTCAGCTTTTTAAAATAGGACTCATCTACCCACCCCCAGAACAAGAACAACTTTGAACTACTTTGATGCTTGCTTAGGCCAACCCACTCTAAGTCCATTCACCTGTTTGTTTGAAGTGCTCAGGTTACTCTGACGCAGGCCAGAAGAGTCTAGTTCCTGTCTGCCCAAAAGGAGGGGCTTTTGGCCAGTCACCTGCAAGCAGTCTAAAAAACTGGCAGAGAGAAGAAAGCTGTGAATCATAGTACTTATCAATATGGTGAATTAAAAGCTTTCAAGAAGTGCTTGTCAGACAAAAATGATACAGTTCATTAAAGAAATGTGAAAGAATATTCTTGTCCTCAACATCAAAAGCAGCCTAGAAAATGCTTTGTGAAATTTAAGATGCAGCTTCTGAAAGTTTTGTGGTGCTATGCTACGATTATTTATGTCTCTCTGAAGATCCTGATGGTTTCTGAAAAACATAACACACTTCTTTGATTTTACTGAGGATTCAACTGAAGGAAAAACATGTCTATTTGAGAATCTTCTTACCATGGTTTGGATAAACGTGGAAGCTCATTCAGCCGTTTCCTGGCCCTACATCCTTGTGGCTGTAACGCAGCTTTATTCTGTGAGACCTCAGCCAGTTTTTCAGTTGTCAGAAGCTTCTCCAAGTTTAGTTCTGCTACCTTGGGGAAGGACAAAGATTAGTAGTTGGATTTCATCTCAGCTAATTGTAGCTAACCAAAAAGCATGTGCTTTCTCTATGAGTCAGCTAGACACACTCCACAGTAGAGAAGAAACGCAGGCATTAGTTTCTTGCCTTCTTATTTTCTGTTGTCATTTTCAAGCACACAGCACTCACAGCATCAACCAGCAATCATCTCCAAAAAAGTTCTCTCAGAAATCAACGACACAAGCAAGAGACTGATAAAACCAGCTGAATCACTACCACAATATACAAGGTCTCTCACTTCTTTCATCTGGAAAAATGACAGGCATTCCTGTAGGCTGGAAGTGTCTCAATCCTTCTTTACCCAATGCCTCTCTTCAAGATCAGCAGCAATGCTGATTCATGTCAGCATTTGAGTACTGAAACACTGGTAATGCTCCAGGTTATTAAGATACCTGGATATAGGCTGAACGTAACAAGCTGTCAAAATTGAGGCCTCTATCACAGCTCCATTTTCTCTTTTAAATTAACAAGAAGATGGGCAGGAATGTTTCTTTTTTCCTTCATAAGCACAACTTGTACGTTCTGTGACTAAGGACAGAAATCTTAATTAGATATAGCTACCTTTGCTGGTCCTTGCTCAATAAAGAATTGAGCCAATTCCAATGCAGCTCTAGCATCTTCTGCAGGATCATGCCCAAGCTTCTGTTCACACTGAATCTCCTTCCTAGGGCATCAAAATGAGGTGTACAGGCAGGTTATCTGCTTTTCCACACTGACCAGCATCCTGTCTTTTCTAAACTGGATTCTTTTTGGGCAAAATAGCTTTCCCCTCTCCAAAAGGGATTTCAGTTCTATGCAGCAGCATTCTTGTGAAATACTCCCAAAAGTGACTGCAAGAAATGTTTTTGCAATGTTGAGCAAAACACTGTTTACCAGGTTTGACAGCAGCAGTGCTAATACTTGGTACTCTGATGCATGACTATTTTTAATTTTACTTCTTCCTTGACCAATGACTCAACTCGCAATTTGCACACAGACAGGGAGGCAACCTCCAACTCAGTGAAGTCTGGCGCTGCAGAGTATTAATATTCACTATGTGAATGGTGAGAACTGTATCGCTATGACATGCTCTCCAGTGGTAGCTAGTACACTGAGGAATATGATTTAAGTCAGTAAATCATACTTTCATACGTTAGCCTTTCTTTCTTGCTAGCTGCAACAGATCTCACTTGTGTGAGACAGAGCGTCTTTGTTGCTCTACAATTCAATACACTGGTACTGCTACAGACCTGCAGAAAAGCTAGTTTTGTGAGGACTCAAATCTGGTTGGGTCACAGTGTCCCTGCTTGCTCAAAGACAAGCCAATTTATTATGCTGCTTGATGTTTCAAGCAGGCAGTAAATTCTTCTTTACCATGTCTATTTGCACAGCCTGCTGCTTCCTTTTGAATTTTAGTGAAAAAAAAAAAAAATTCTGATGCTACTAGTAGAAGAGCAAGACCTTATGACCCCCCATGACAGTTTCTAATATTTCCCGTGACAGTAATACAGTAATAATCTTACCCTAAAACAGCTTTGGCTAGAAATTTTAGCTTAAATCTTCGACCTTCATTTCTGGCAAAAAGCAATGAAGTATCAATAACACTGGGGTGGATCATCTGGAGGAGAGAAATCATCACCAGTTTAATTTAAGAACAGCAGTCATATAGCATTGGGCAGTAACTCCACTCTTATCTGTGCCTCCGCCTTTTCATTTTGGTTGCCAGTTTCTCACTAATAGAAAACTGGTCCACAAAAAGAGAGCAGATGGAAATAATGAAACAAGCCGATCTCTCCTTTCTAACACTGTTGGGAAGATCTAGATTGGGTTAGAAAGATTCATTATGATGCAAGCAATTTAGGTTGGTTAAATTAAATACATGAAGCACTTCAGTTCTTCCTGTGACAGAGCCATCAAAACCACCTGGCTGAAACAGAGAGGTAAAGCTGTTGCAATGATATCTATGTCTGGACAGACCCCTCCCTTCCTTCTGGGTTCTGCAGCCCCTTGCAAGTTTTATAAATGTAAGGAGACTCTTTCTCTTTTAAATCCTTACAGACGTAAGGCTATTCATAATAAAAAGCAATTAACAAGTGTTCACTAATAAAAAGAGGAATTGTTTAGAGTTTTCAGGTCTGAAATGAGTATTACAGGGTTGGGAAAAAAAATCTTAAGGGCATACTCACTTCCAAAGCTTGAAGATCAGCATTTAGAGAATGACCCACCAATACTGCATCGCGGGGAAGCAATTTTTTTAGTCTGGTTTGGATGTCTGGCAGTCTTGTTTTCACCGGAAGAAGCATTTTCTTTGTGATTCCTGAGAATCTTCAAAACAAAAGTCAGATGAGGCAAAATCAACACAGTAGCAACAGCACCTACTGGAGAATATTACAAGCAGGGCATGTAATATACGAACTCAGTGTAATTAATGACAGAATGCTATTTACTGCTTTCTGTTCCAACATAAGAGGATATACTGCAGGTATATTAAACTGCTATGAGTGCTACCACATCTGTTTCAAAAGTTTATCTCTCTCAAGTATAACTTAAGGGATGCAGTTCTTAGCATCAGATAGCACAGGAAAGGAAATAATGCAGGACTGATGGTAGAAGGAGATGCTTCCAAGTAGCCTGAGGCGATTGGCACATCACCTCCTGGATAAAGCTGGGCAAAGTTTTGGAGAAGACAAGGCTTGAGTTTTGCCTGCTTTTGTTATAATCCTGAGCCCAGTCCTAGAGGTGCATGAAGGCTGATAAGCTGCTCTATTCATTTTTTCACAGATGAGCAAACTTAGCCATGGAGCAGAGAGACGCAGACTGCAATCCTGCACTCTTACCCTGTATCCTATTTTAGAGCCAGCAGTAAAGAGTAACTTGTACTGGGTATCATTAACCTCTAACAGAACTTTTCCTAGAACACTGCACAAAGATAATGCTTCTAGCCAGCCACATGGGCACTACATAGCAGAGAGTGTCTACATAATGTCGGTTATTCTAATCACGTAGCAAGAACTGTATTCTTCACACTGAGTAAAATGCAGTAGACATCTGTGCAGTCCAAAGCCTTCTGAAAGGTCCTGTGAAACAGGTTTAATTTGAAAGGGTTGCAGCTCTTAAAGATGAAGAGATAAGAAACTTATGTGCAAGTCACCTGGTGCGGTAGTTCACTACTGCGCCTTCAGGTTTCACTAGTTCATTCAAGAGGCATTGACCCTGTGCATCCACCAAAGAGACACGAGTGACTTCATTCCCTTTTGCAGTCAGGCACTGTCAGGAAGAAGCAGAGGCAGTTGTTGAATCATCACGATGCTGCCACTCAAAAACCTTAGCTAACATCTGTTTTGGCTGCAGCCAGCATCACTACTAAGGAGTTACTCAACATAAGAGATCTACCACTCATAGCTAGTTGTTTTATACTGTAGGATGCTTCATTTTAATTGTTAAATGCCCACCATAAGCACAGCAAACAAACAGGCAAGCGCAAGACAAAGAAAACCATTATAAAGAAGTGCTGATTTCACAGAATCAAGTCTGTGCTCTGCACTGCAGAGCCATCACTGACAGCATCTTCACCAGAGAAGATGTACAATTTAAAAGCAGATTGCGTCCTTAGTTATTCAATGCTGATGCCAATAGGCGTCTCTGCAAGGTCAAAACTGCACTAAAAGAAGAATCTTCACCCCAGCATGCTGCCAGAAGAACTGGGATGGCTAAAGGAAAGATGTGTGATAGGGAAGTAACTTCCCTTTCCCAAACCTTGGGGAGGGCTGGGAGGAGGAATTCCACAGCAGTCTCATGGGTTACTGCAGCACTGCCAATGGCCTTGGCAGACCCAGCTGCTGCTCTGACAGCCAACGCAGAACTGAGCTCTCTGCTGCACTGCTCAACATAATATTTCTGTCTTGTCACCAGAACCACGTCCTGAGTCCCTCCCATGTCTGCATTAGCACTGGTACATCAGTGAAGGGACTGGCAGCAGATATTAGTATAGCAGAAGTGGTTTAGCAAATACACAGGGTGCTTGGCTCACTTCGGAACAGCTGTCAGGAGTTTGGTTGCTTGACTATATTTTGTAAGGCCACACACTTTTTTTTACCATTTCACAATCCAAACCATAAAGGGGGCTGCTGTCTGTCCTCTGCTGATCACACTCTGTATATATATAGCCTTTACATCCAGGGGAGCCTAGAATGAAAAGATACCCATGAATAAGAAAGAGACCTCTCTCTTCTAAAACTCATCACATATCTCATATGACCAAACATATCACTAACTGTCAAAACAACAAAAAAAACCACCCAACAAAACAACCAACCAAAAGCCCTCAAAAACTGACCTTGTATGGGATAGTAATTATTTTTCTGTTCTTCTAAAGTTAGAGTATAGCTAGTAAGGCCTTGTTTTTTTTCTCCGTACTTCTGAATGATGGGATCACATTGCAAGTCTGAACTTTTAGGAATACATTCACTGTTAGTGGAAGTCAAACCTGTAAAATACAGAAGCATCTGTCAAGCTCAGATAGCACTCCCTACTTGCAGTCAGTTTTCTGCATTAGTATGCACACTAAGAGGCTACACCGTTTCAAAGGAAAACAATAGGCTGGAGAAACAGACAGATAGACAGATAGATACAGATAGGTCTGTCTGTCTATCTATCTATCTCCAGTTTATATCTCATTTATTGTGTGCATATCTATACACACACTAAATATATATACATAATTATATATACACAATACTATATATAATGTA